CCAATGAACACCATAGTAGAAGACAGACATATTTCTTATTTAATATATTATCTGTGCTATTCTACTCGATATCTTGTCTATTGTCATTAATGACAGCTCCTCATACCACCTGTTTAACATAGAATTGGAGAGTAAAGCCATCTAACCTAGGCAAGGATTTACCATTGGATCAGTGATTCATTACTGCATCAGACCTCATGCCAAGACAAGGATTTACCATTTTTACCCAAACCATTAAAATGCAACCAGAATTCGTCCATTTTTCTATTCATTACTAAACTTCTGGTCATTAGGAATATTAAACTAGAAATCGGCTGGCAATAAATCATGAAACAAAATCAGAAATAAGAATTATCATTTGAAGACTTACACTTGCAAATTTTGTTCATGAACCCAAGAAGGAAGTGTTCCAGCTAGATTGTTGTATGATACATCTCTGTAATTGCCAATTTAATAAGAAAATAATTTCAAGTGGACATTCCAAATAGGAATTACTAAATGCATTTGATTTAAGACTCATTGAAATGATATTGATCCATATAAGCTCAGCACCTTCCATGTTTCCATATTTCACCAGAAATCTGCTCTTTAAGATAGCAAAAGATCTGTTTAATTGAATTTTGAGAAAAATAACTTCAATTTTAAAGCATTTTGAGATGCCAATAGCCATGTTAGATGTACTCACATGGCGAGGAGTGACGAACTCTTTTGGGCAGGCAAGGATCCATTCAACCTATTATTCCCTAGAAACCTGACAATTAGAGCAAAAATACTTTCTTCAGGATGCAAGTACTTGTGTGCAAGTGCATGACATAATTAAGGATAGTAGCATCTTACAAGTGACGAAGTCTGCTCATATTGAAAAGCGCGGCTGGGATATCTCCAGTCAAATTGTTGAAACTCAAATCTCTGAGGAATGGACAGATTACACTTCCAAAGTTAATAAACATAACTAGTTAACAATATATTAAAAGAAACAAATCTGACTTGCCCATCCCGTGCTCTCATTCGTAAATTTGCTTTAAATTTTTAGTACAAATTTAACTTTCCATCTTTAGTATATATAAGTAGTTACTCATCAAGAGGAACAACTTACAGTTGTGTCAAATTCTGGAATTCGCCAATGTTGGGTGGAATTGAATCAGAAATATTGTTGTTCCTTAGTACTCTGCAGGACATGTAATTATCAGGTTGTAAGAGTGAAGCAAAAAGAAGAAAAAAGCATAATAGTAAGATGCCCAATGGAGTCGATTTATGTTTTCATACAGGATACTTAGGGATTTCAAATCTTTTATAAACTCCAGCGATGAACTTCCATTCGTCAAATCACTTATTCTCCTACAATTTTATTTGACAGAAAGGTTAAGATCATAGACACAAGATATAAAATAAACATGACCAGTAAGGGAAAGTACTCACAACTCTGTCATCGAAGTTAGATTTGAGAATGTTGATGGAATAGGACCTTCAAAAGAGTTACCTTGAAATCTCCTACAAAGAATACAAACAGGTATATATAGCAAAGATTGTAAAGCTTGCAGGCCTTTGAAATAAGAAAGCAGTGAATTAAGATGGTATTTTCCCATATTTTCCACTTAAATTTGCAGTTGGAAGAATAGAATTTTCTAAAGTTAAACAAAGGATTAGATCGAATATGTTTTCTACTTTTCTGATTCAGAAGAAAGTTAATTTTTATAATCCTAAAACTAGACACATTTTCTTCTTTCTGTTTTATTAAATCAGAAAAAAATAAATAATGTTCTCCGAAAAAAGAATAGAAATAAAAAACATCTCTTTTATAAAACATTCTTGGTTGAAAAGAAAATGTAAATAAAATATCCCATTAGATTGAATTTGGTCCATGAATTGAAGAAATAGTGGAAATTCTTGATCTCTCTTTATATTTTCAATTAAAAAATTCAGGGTTTGAATTGATCTCCTTCATTTATGAGTCGAGTATAACCAACTTATGCTGCAGTGTTAGACATTAGCTTTAGAGTACAAAGAAAAGTAAGTAAACTATACACAAAAAACAAAAGAGGAAAACTAAATAATATACTTACAGTGTAGCAAGCTTCGACCAATTCCCTATGAAATCAGGAATTCTGCCTGTAAGTTCAGTGTCTGATGCCCAGCTGACATGAATAAATAAATTTTCTCAAAATTTCTATTTATCTTTTGATAAATTCTTGTTTTAAAATAAATTCAATTATTTGGATAATATGATCAAATTTCTTTACACTGTCACCAAGTTCTGTAGATTAGAAAACGTTCTAGGTATCTCGCCACGAACCCCAGAGCTATCTATATAACTGTCGTGATAGACAAACTTCCATTAGTTTTGCACTTACCTCTTAAGACAAGAAAAATAATACAAATTCTCATATCATATGTCAAAAACCAGAACAAAATAAAAGTAGTCAGTTAACTTGATCTAGAAGTTTACATTAACCGAACTTGTAAGGGGATCCACTCCTTCGGACCATAACAGAATACCACGCAATGACAAACTTCCATTAGTTTTGCACTTACCTCTTAAGACAAGAAAAATAATACAAATTCTCATATCATATGTCAAAAACCAGAACAAAATAAAAGTAGTCAGTTAACTTGATCTAGAAGTTTACATTAACCGAACTTGTAAGGGGATCCACTCCTTCGGACCATAACAGAATACCACGCAATGTATACCTACTGCACAAGATAATTTCCAACTGCCTAATATA